CTGGAGGGGTTGCCCTCTGGCCCAGTGCTCACCTGTCCTGCCGAGACTCCCCTTTGCTGAACTCCTGTGTTAGATACCCTATCTCCAAGTTCTCTATCTTCCTCTTCACATTCATCCTCTCATTTTGCTAAGAAATCTTCATCGTCTCTTCACCAATCGAGAGTTGGAGTCCAGACATGTTGCAAATGATCTTCATTCTTTCCTCACGCTGATTAATAGTTTGGTATCTACAGAATTCTAGATTTGAAATAATTTTCCTTCTGAACATTGAAGGCATTCTTCCTTTATCTTCCAGCAAGCTGTGGTGGTTTGGAGAAATTGCATGTTATTCTGATTCCTTTTCCTGTGTTGTTTCTCTGGAAACTTTTAGAAGCTTTCTTTCTCACTGGCTTTATGAAATCTCAGAAGGAATATCTTTGGCATTTTTTAATTAGTTTTTCTACATAGTGGCAGATTCTTTGTTTCTTTCCTTCCTTGCCTGCTTGGTTCTCTTTTCTGTTCTTTTCATGTTTCTTCCCTTTTCCATCCTTCCCTCCCTTCCCTCTCTCCCTTTATTTCACTTGAAAGATTGAAAGCTTTACTTCCTCAATGAAAACAAAGCTGAGAGTATATAAATAAAATTCACATAGAAAAAGCAGAATAAATAAACCTAATTACCAGTTTTCAGAATAACTTGTCTTCCTGATATCCTATGAAGATCATTAACATTTTAAAAATTATCATTATGAATGCATAGATCAGAATATGTTTTATCAGCTTAAATCCATTATAATTATTATTCATTTTGATGTCAAAACTGTCTCATCTTTAACTGGTAGGAACTCGACTCAAAAACTTCAAGAAGGTTCCTGAGTCCTTCTGATAGACTGCAGTAGTCTCCGATTGCACAAGATGTCCAGGTTCCACCTGTGCATTTCCTGCCTCAGAATGGGAATTACACATCTTTCCTAAGAGGCCCTATAAGCAATAATGTTCACTAGTTTCTGGTCTATGTTTCCTCTGTTTCTATTAAAAAATAAAGAGATAAACACACACGCATATCTACACAATCTTGTTTCCCCTTCTTTCTTACTCAAATGTTAGCATGTATATACACACATATATTCACATACACACACTCACAGAGACACATACACACACAGTCACACACACATATAGACACACACACATTCATACACATGTACACATATACACACTTACATATATACAGTCACAACACACACAATACACATAAACACTCACACACACACAGTCACCACACACACATAAAACACTCACACACATACACACTTGAGCCTTGACTTTTTTCTTTTACTTCGCAATGTGACCTGGACACCTGGTCTCCTGCGAATGGGTTTTTATATTGTTTCCCACACTTTCTCTGACACATCTCTACTCTGACCTTTACTTGTAGCCTTTCTGAATCACTTGGTCTTAGTTGTATCTCTTATACAAAGTATAGAGCTGAGTATTCCTTCTTGAGCAAATATTAAAATCTTTTTATTGTAATAGTTAAATTAATTCTATTGACATTAATTTCTATGACTGATGTGTTTGATTCAAACTCTCTCCTATCATTTCATTTAATTTTACCATCGGTATTATGATACTGTTTCTTTATTTATATGGCTTGTTTTACTTACTTTTTGTAGTTCTTTTTATATTTCGGATGGTTTGTATTTGTCTTAGTTGTTGCCTTTACGTTAATACCGTTACTACATACCCCGTCCTCTCATTCCGTATTTATAATGCTACTTTTGGCTTGTCAGCTTTGACCAATATTATTTGCGTATGACTCGGATTTAGGTGGCAGTCAATGGGCTTATTCTACTAAGCTCTCCCCCTTTACCTCTGCTTTTTTTTCTTTTTACTTTTTATTAACTTATTTTGTCATGATTTCAGATTTCCAGAGGAGTTACAAAGAGAGTAAAGAGTTCCCATGTACACTTCACCCAAGTTCCACAATGTTAGCATCTTAAATAATCATGGCTCACTTATCAAAACTAAGATGTTAAATACAGGCTTCATTTTTTATTTTAACAGTTTTCCCACTAAAGTCATTTTTCTGCTCCAGGATTCAGTCCAGGGTACCAGTTTGTATTTACTTCTCAGGTCTCCTTGGTTTCCTCCAACCTGTGACAGTTTCTCAGTGCTTCCTTGTCTTTCAAGATTTTGGCAATACTGAAGAATACTGATCAAATACTTTGTAGCATGTTCCTAAAATTTGGTCGGACTGATATTTGCTCATGATTAGACTTTTGTTATGTATTTTGGGGAAGACTATCACAGAAGTGAAGAGTCCCTCTCATTGTATCATATCAGGGTATGGGACATAAGCATGACTTGTTACTCGTGATGCTAACCTTGACCACTTGATTAAGGTGGAATCTGCTAGTTTCTCCACTGCACAGTTAACTATTCTCCCTTTTCATACTCCACTCATTAGAAACAAGTCACTGAGTCCAGCTACACTCCGGGGAGGGTGCTATGCTATATCTCCTGGAGGGAGGAGTATCAGAGACTCTGTGGAAAGATGTTGACACCATCCCAGTGATTAATAAATATTTGCAAGGGATATTTTCAGACCATGAAAATATATTTTTCCCCTTAAAGTTTTGCCCACCAGGGGATCTTCCCAAGCAATTATTACTGTGGTGTTCTAAAAGCATTATTCTATTTCCCTGCTTCCTTCTACATGCATTAATTGGAAAATATAGCTGATGGAGATATGAAATCCTTGGCTCACACTTTTTTCCTTGAATTTATTGGATACATTGAACCACAGTTGTCTTACTTAATATGCTGCTGTTGGGATGTCAATGTGATTTCCTTTCTTTGGAAGTAAGGTTGTCTTTCTATGTGGAGGTGCAGATAATTAGATGTTCTGTGGAGTCAGCATTTAGATTGGTTGTGAACTTACTGAAACAGAATTGAAAGGGGCATTAAAAAATGCAAAGGAATCAAATAGAGAAATTTCCAATCTATTTCCTCATTCCCTTTGTATTACCTGTGAGGGTCTCTAATATCACGTTTCAGTAAGCTGCAGCCACCCCTTGTTTACTACCCATTTTTTATTAGGTCTTGCTTGTTCAAGGTTCCAGGCTTTTATCCTGCACATCCATAAGGCTACTTCTTTTCCTCATTTGCTTATTATAATCCTACTTATCCTGCAAGGTTCATCTGATATGACACTTCCATTGAGAAATACTACCTATATTTTTATATAACATGTCTACACTTTTTTATATCATAGACTGAATTTCATGCTAGTTTAGCAATCTAAATATCTTTCTCCCCACTAGATTACAAGATTCTTGTCAGGAGCCATATGGAAAATCTAAGAACTTCTTATCCCCCCAATGTTCATGTCCACTCTGCCAACACACTGTATATTGTAAGTATTTGATAAAGGTTAAGCAGAACAGAAATCTTAGCAATCAATGCACCATGTAGTGAGGATCTACCTCAGTTTGTTGTCAGGAACTCAAGAAATGGATGACATGACTGGTGACTCACGGCTATTAAGTCAGGACTTTTACAATCAGGACACATACAAGTCACATTTGATAAAAAGGCAAATGCATTATAAAACCAGATGAGCACCATGTAGGTCAAGAAGAGGAAAAGTCAATTCAACGTAAGAGACCTAGGAAAATCCATCTGGAGGAAATCAGATCTGGGCTCAAGGATAAGTAGGATTTGGATGGAAAGAGAATGAGAAGAAAGTGTTTTAGGTGAGGGAACATTATGAGCAAATTAATGGAAACAGGTGCAAAGAGCATAGTGAAGGATGCACATGGCCGAGTGCCCTGAGATGAGTGGAAGAAAGAAAGGTGGTAGATAAGATGCAGACAGACATGGAGCATCTGGAATCCAAAATAAGGAGAATGGATTTGGTGTGAAAACTGACGAGGGACCATTACAAATTCTTGAGCAGAAGAGTATCTCTTTTTCTCATTCATTCAGCAAATATTTGTTGAGCACAACAAGGTACCAGACACTGTTCAAGGTGTTGGAGATAAAGGAATGAACCTAACAAAGAAATCTCTTCCCTCTTAAGCATATATGCTAATGAGGGGGAGTGACTGATTATAGACATACTAACAAATATATATTATATTGAAAAGTGATTAGTGGAATGAAGGGGAAAACAGGGTAAGAAAGGTAAAGTCAACTGCGGTAAAGTGGAAAGAAAGGAGAACAATCTCAGTAATGCATATGTGGGACTAAATAATACCATCAAAGTTTCCAGGGAGTGTTTTGCAAGACGTGGGGCAAAGTCAACCCACAGAGTGAAGAAGCTGATGACCTGGCTGAACATACCAGACCCTTTAGCCGCCTCTCCAAATCCTACTCATCTTTCATGAACCATATTAATTCTTCCAGTAACAGGTTAAACCACCCTGAGACTCTTTTCTGCTCAGTTTACATTTTATGCAGTAAGGAAGAGAATTGTAAAAATGAGGTCAGTTACAAATGAGATCAGCCTGATGATCATCAAATGACCTTAGTGACTTTAGTGAAGATCATTTGCTTTAACCTCATTGTCTCACAGGCCATCTTTAATTAATGTCACATAGTTTATATGTTTTCGGGACTGAAACTCCCCACTGAAATACAGTGACATCAGTGCAGGGAAATCCCTTTAGGATTTGATGGAAAATTTTTAACCTTGCATTGTAAGGGACATAATTACTGACACTGAATTATTAGTGGTCTCCAGACTTTCATTCTTTTAATCCCAAATGTTTTAAAGACAAAATTTATAATCTGACATTTTATGAGACCTAACACCATAAAGCAAACAATGAGGTTTTACCCAATTCTTCTGAGTGAATCTAGGTAAGGAAAGTATTCTAATTTATTGTTACTTTTAATATTAGCATCCACAAATATTTATCTGAATTATTTAGTATTTTTTCATTGTTCTTAGATTTCAACTTCTTACGTATCTTTCTCTCTCTTCTCAAAACTGAAGGCTATGAGAAACTAGGATAAGAAAATTCACTGCAATTCATGCTCATCTTTTCTAATAATAAGGAAGAATGTCAAAATATACAGGTATGAACACAGAGCAATTCTGTTCAATAATTCAGGCACATGCATTGAAAGTCATTTCTAACATAATTGAATAATTAAGTGGCTGATATTACATATTTTAAAACAAATGAACACAATTTTCAGCATGTGCCTTTATGTTGATGTTTTTAATATGGAAAAATGAACCTAGTGTGACCATAGAAGTATATGATGAGACACATCAGTCAATATATCCTAAGGGATCACTACATAATGACAGAAGATAGCCTTTTAAAAGAAAATAAACTTTGCTCTCAAAAACCATACTGAGATTTAAAGGGTTTGCTCTTCTTCTGTGTTAGAAAACTAAAGTATAAAGGCAAGCTTACTTTTATTAGCTTTTAACCTGCTCTGATATACTTCAGAAAATCTTATATAATTTTCTTAGGAAATAAAATAATAGTAGATGAGTCAATTCAGATAAAAGAATGATAATCAAATATTTTAAATGATGAAATTTGAATAATTTCCTTTGTAGACTCTTCTTCAAAATTAACGATCTCAATTTTCAGAAACCAAAGAGGTCACTAAGGACCATTGGTAGGAGACTGAAAACAAGTTCACCCATCCCAGGCTTTTGGGGTGGAGGTAAGACTGGAATCAATAACACTTTTCCTCTATGGCTTGCACAACTCTTGTAAGAAGTGTAAGTCACAGCTCACCTCAAATGCCTCCAATTCTAATAAGGAAACTGTGCCTGCACATATGGAAAAAAAAAAAGCAAAGCCATGTAGATTATACAAAAGTGATTCTAGATTGTATTGGGTATACAAAATATGCTCGAGGATTCAGAAAATGGAGCTCAGTGTTGTCCAGGGCATTTAGTTAAATTTTTATTAAGTAATATTATATGCAAGCTATGCTTTACATAAAGAGGGAAATGATATAGATATCTGGGCAAAAATCCACAGGAAAAATGGCATTGACAAAGTTTCAGTGATTATGGTGATGGGTGTGACAGTTGAAAAGGAACAAGAGAGGTAAGTATGTATGTATATTTATTTCCTTAGAATTCCAGGTAGTTTTCTTTAAAGACGATGGCCCTCTCCTTAATCCTTAGTGATCTCCATGCAGTTCCTGAGATATAAATTTAACACTTCTGTTGTGTGCTCTTTCCAAACATTCACTCTACGGGGAGAGCATTGAAAACTTCTTGTTCAGTTAAAATATATATGTGTGTGTGTGAAACTTGATTTTAAGTTTATTTTAAGGATTTTTAATAGATTAACACTGAAATTATTTACCAACACTTAAGAAAACATGGGCACACTACATTTGTAAACTTTTCTTGCATAAATTCATAGACACCAACCTCTTCCACTGTAAGCAACCTGCCTGGAATTATCAAAATATTCTTGGAAATCCTGAGTTTCAGAGTAGAGGTCATAAAGACAACGTTTTAGGGGAATGAATGTTACTGCATGTGTTCCTGTATCCTAGAGACAGCAGGGTAAGGGTGAAGAAGATTCTATCCTTCTTATAAAACGAAAAATTTGAAGAGAAAATTACATATACTCTAAACTAGAATCTTACATCTCCATAATTCCTATCTCAGCAGAGAAGGCAGAAATGATTGAGGATAACCATTCCTTGACAACGGAGTTTATCCTCACAGGATTTACAGATCACCCAGAGCTGAAGACCCTTCTGTTTGTGGTGTTCTTGGCCATCTATCTGATCACCATGGTGGGGAATCTTGGTTTGGTGGCACTGATTTTTAAGGAGCGGTGTCTTCACACACCGATGTACGTCTTTCTGGGCAACCTGGCTCTGATGGATTCCTGTTGTTCCTGTGCCGTCACCCCCAAGATGTTAGAGAACTTCTTTTCTGAGGACAGAATGATTTCCCTTAATGAATGCATGGCACAATTTTATTTTCTCTGCGTTGCTGAAACTGCAGACTGCTTTCTCCTGGCGGCCATGGCCTATGACCGCTATGTGGCCATAGGCCACCCACTGCAGTACCATACCGTGATGTCCAGGAAACTCTGCATTCAGATGACCACAGGGGCATACATCGCTGGAAACCTGCATTCCATGATTCATGTAGGGCTTCTGTTTAGGTTAACTTTCTGTGGGTCTCATCAAATCAATCACTTTTATTGTGATGTTCTTCCATTATACAGACTCTCCTGTGCTGACCCTTATATCAATGAATTGATGATATTTATCTTTTCAGGGTTAGTTCAAGTCTTCACTATTTCCATAGTTTTGATCTCTTATCTCTGCATCCTTTTCACGATTTTCAAAATGAAATCCAAAGAAGGAAGAGGCAAAGCCTTATCTACATGTGCATCCCACTTTCTGTCTGTCTCAATGTTCTATGGTTCTCTTCTCTTTGAGTACGTTCGACCAAGTTCAATTAAAGAAGAGGATAATGATATATCCGTTGCTGTTTTTTATACTCTAGTAATTCCTTTATTAAATCCTTTTATTTATAGTCTAAGAAATAAGGAAGTAATAAATGTTATGAAAAAAACTATGAAGAAAATTTCTTAACATTCTGAAACAAATATCAATCTCTGTGGAAAAGTAATTTTAGTTTGATAAAACTTTTTCAAAATGAAGGAATACTGAGAAAGTGGAAAATGGCTATTTTGTATATAAAATAATAAATTACTAAAACATGATGGGGTACTAATCATATAAGTTCAGAAAGGAGGGATTCTGCTACAATGTAGCTCAAAATCTAAGCTAGGTTCCATCAGGAGGGACTAAATAATTACTTTCCAGGTCACAAATTCTTTCAGGGTGAAATTAGTTACACTAGTAACTAATTATTTCAAAGTGTAACAGGTTACAATTTTCAACAAATCCCACAACTGCTAGGAACAGAAGTCAATGTACATAAAGGTCACCTCCATTTAATATTGTTGGCAATTTCTAGATTCCCAAAGTATAGTTTTACAAACTCAGGGAAATCCCAAATTCTCAAGAATTAATCCCTCTTAAACAACACCATCTGTCAGAAGTAAACTGTCTATTTGAATTTCATTCTCAACTTCCTTGCAGTTCATTCAAGAGATTATGTTTGAATATTAATTCATGCAGAATATGTATTTTCTAACCAAAAACATTTTCGTCTCTAGTGTTAGTCAGATTTACTCTCAAGTTCTCTGAAATCGACTATCTACATACCAGTGATTTATCAACCTATAGTTGAAAGTGATGCTATTGATATTGAAATCCCCATGGATTTGAATATTTGGTGTAGTTTTCATTAGTTGTCCATCATATATGACAGTGCAATTCCTGAACATATTAATTAAATAAAGGAGGTTTTTCTGTTCTGATATTATCACTTGTGTTGTTATTAGGAATACCACCAACCTGGACTGATTCCAGCGTAAATTATTGATATTTTCATAGCATTAAAAAAAAGCTGGAGATGCTGTTCAAGCGTAAATGAGGCAGAAAACAGTGAAAATTCTAAATATCTAAGCAAAAATATTTCTCGATCACTTACATGTGCAAATATGAAAGAAAAATAATTTACTGAGAACCTACCATCTCCTAGGCCCTAGACTGACCTTTCATACATATTACCTACCAATTGTTAGATGGGCTTTTTCATGCTTTTCCTCAGTAAAAATCTCATACTTTGAAATATTGAGCAGCTTGCCCAAGTTCATCCAGGTCATCCAGATTGAACTAGAATTTAGATCTATTCTGGCTTTTCTTCACTTGCTTGGGAGTTCAGAAAATGGAGACCATTGTAGCCTGGGGTATTTCGTTCTGAAGTAGCATCAGAAGTAAAATGTACCTTAAAACATGGAAAAGAAATTGATATTTGGAGAAAAACAGGGATCAGTATGACCAGAGTCAGTGTTTATGAAGTGAGTGTGACAATGGGAATGGCAGATGAGGGAGGGGAACTGTGGGACAGTCAGAAAGCTGACAAAACCACTGGTGAGCTGCGAGTGTGGGAAACAAGGGAGGAAGTGGATCAGGTTACTGAGAATCTTAAATGCCGCCCTCAGGAGTGTGACTTTATCCTAGAGGCATCAGACACTGAAGTCTCCCGGGAGCCCAGTAACATGATTGTAACTCTCAGAAAACTGACCTGATTGATTGGAAAGAGGCTGGAAGTGAGGAGACTAACTTCAATAATTCATTTATTAGATGATGGGAGCTGAAACTGGAGAATATTTTAAAAAGAAAGGAGAGGAAGGGGACTGGCCTTGTAGTGCAGTGGTTAAGATCTCACGCTCTGCTTTGGCAGCTCAGTGTTTGCAGGTTGGGATCCTGGGCACGGGCCTAGCACTGCTTGTCAAGCCATGCTGTGGTGGCATCCCACATAAAATAGAGGAAGATTGGCACAGATGTTAGCTCAGCGACAATCTTCCTCAAGCAAAAAGAGGAAGGTTGACAGCAAATGTTAGCTGAGGGCCAACATTCCTTACTAAAAAAGGAAAAGAGACGTGGATGGACCTCGAGGGTATTATGTTAAGCGAAATAAGCCAGTCAAAGAAAGACGAACTCTATACGACTCCACTCATAGGTGGAAGTTAGTATATTGATAAGGAGATCTGATCGGTGGTTACCAGGGAAAAGGTGGGGGGGAGGGCACAGAGGGGGAAGTGGTGTACCCACAACATGACTAACAAAAATGTACAACTGAAATCTCACAAGGTTGTAATCTATCATAACATTAATAAAAAAATTTAAAAAAAAAAAAGGAAAAGAAAGGAGTGCACAGATATAAGCAACATTTTAAAGAAAAACAATAGTAAATTATAACTGATGGATAATAAAATGAAGGCCTGTCTTTTTCCTGTAAGTATCAACCATTTTATAACTGATTTTATATCACCAATACTTAATAAGGTGCCTGACACATGTGGCTGTTTAATAAACATTTCCATCAATACGTTTTTAATTTAAATGTGTAAGTTAATATGTAATAGGTTTACTACTTTTATTTTTGAATGAATTAATAAATAGATAATTTTTAAGTTCTCAGTTTGTTTTCTATTATAAATACTGAGAAATATAACCCACATAACCAAAACTCTTTAGGGTTCTAAAGTATTTTATTTTTATTTATTTATTTTTAATATAAATGTTGGGACTGATTTTACAGGAAATCTATTTCAAAATATCTTAACTTTGTACTATTATTTTTCTTCTAAAAAGTTCTACCAAAATTTATGTTTGAATATTTATAATAGTAGGAACTTAGTACTTTCCAAGAAAGCCTATTTTATAACTGAAAGGCTATTATAAATAACTTCATAACTATATTGGCAACATTGGTTTATAACATTATATAAATTTCAGGTGTATATCATATTTGTACTTCTGTGTAGGCTATAATGTGCTCACCACCAAAGTTTAGCTTCCTAGACCAAAAGTCTAAGCACTTTTAGAGTAGAAAGGAATATAGATACTAATGAGTTTAAGAAGCTCTGAATTAGATGGATGCTGTGCCTCTTGTACCCATCCTCTATTTTAGTGGATATTTTTAGCTGTCAGGCTTGCATCCATTGATTCGTTTTCCTAAGGGGACCACAATTCTTGGTATGTATTTCTGCACCACCCACCCGCAACACTGAGTCCCAGAGGTCTGTTAAGGGGAGAGTATGTGACTTACTTAAGGCCAATGAGACAAAAGAGGTGATTTTGTGGAAGTTTCTGGGATATGTTTCCTTTACTTCAAAAGAGATCTACCAAAAGGCGGTGCTTCTCCCTCTGAATGTCATGGGGTGTGGATATGAAATCTGTCACCGTCTACGTCCATTCTGCCATCTGGAGAGAATGCAGCCTGGAGATGGAATCACACACACAGGTGAGCACAGCCGAGGGATCACAGAGGAACAGACCCAGAGTCTCTGGGATAAACCGTCCTTTCTGGTTGTGTAATCCCCCAGATCTTCTCACTGTTTATGCTCATTTGGAAAAGATGCTTTCTCTGCAACTGAATAAATATTAACTGATACACTCTTGTCTTATCTCTCATTTTATCTTCTATTTTAAATTAACCCAAAGACATTTTTAGCTTACAAACAACTTTTCAGCATTATGCACTTAACTATATAGCACATCTATTGTCATTTAATTTCATTACTATATTTTCATTTCCTATATCCTCAGTGAAAGAATGAGGGACGGAGAGGGTTCATAATTTGTCCACAGAAATACTAGGTGGAGCTCAGGGACCAAACCCAGATGATCTGGCCCCAGAACCATGTTCATAACCACTAAGTCATACAATACATAGCACAAAGAACTAAAAGCAGCCTGAGAGGGACATTTTCAAGAGGCCAACCTTTCAAGTGGGCAGAGAAATAGGATAGAGCTTCAAGGAAGTTGTGGACCAATGACATGTTCTTCTATATTTATTTTGAAAACTTTCAAACCTACAGAAAAATTGAGAGAATCCCATGGATTGTTTTAAACCAAGTATAAACAATTGTTAACATTTTACCCCATTTGCCTGGTAACCTACCTCCAAATGTATATATACACTCATTTAATTCATGTATACACAGATATATGTATATAGTGACATTATGACAGTTTACCCAGAAATACTTCAACATACGTCTCAAATGAACAAAGACATTTCCTACACCATCATCATGTCACTATTATTGCCAAGAAACTTATCACCCAGTACGAAGTTAACATTCAAATTTTTTCCAAAATTATCCCCAATAGCAATTTATTTTTTCATCAAGAACTCAATTAAAAGTCACTATTTACATTCAGTTATTATCATTATTTAGTCTCCTTTAATCTAGATGGATCTTCTTGCCTTTCTGTTTCCTTTCATGACAGTTACATTTTCAAATATTCGGGTTAAAATCATGTAAAATATCCCACAGTCTCTATTTTTATGGTGTCCCCTCATGCTTAGACTCAAATTAGATGTTTCAGCAATAGCAGGTGTAGTAAGATCTCCTTCTTGCATCACGAGACCCATAACGTCAGTTTTTCCTGTGACCGCTGATGCTGACTTCGATAACTTGGTTAACATGGTATCCATGAGATCTTTCTATGGTGAAGATGAGTTGTTTCCTTGAGAATTAAAATCTCCTCTGTAGGAGGATACATTGACACCATGTGAATTTCCTGGTTCCTAACAATTTTTCATCAATGCTTTTAGCATCCAGTGACAATCCTTGCCTGAATCAACGATTATATCTGGAGATGGAAAAATGGTGATGGTTCTCCCCAAGTGTTATCTGGCTTCATTCTGAAAAGAAGAGCTCTACCGCAAAGTGTCCTTCTTTATTTAAGTTTTCAAAATTTTAGAACAATTTTGGGTTTATCAGAAACAACAAAGAGAGGATAGGAGTTCCCATATATAACATACCCATTTCTCATATTATTGACATCTTACATTAGTACGGTACCTTTGCTATAATTAACAAGCCAATATTGACATATTTATGATGAACTGAAGTCCGTATTTCATGCAGATTTCCATAGTTTAACCCAATTTCCTTCTTCTGCTCCAGAATCCCATCCAGGATATCACATTATACGTAGTCATC